ACTATGTTTGTCAGGCTGATTCCTCTGTGGTTATCACAAGAGGACTTCTCGCCTTTCTTGAAGACTGGGATGATGAGTGACTTAGACCAGTCGGAGGGGATCGTATTTGATTCCCATATACTGGCTAACACTTCCGTTAGCCTGACTAAGAGAACTCTACCACCATTCTTGTATACCTCAGCAGGTAGTCCGTCTGGTCCTGCTGCCCTTCCCGTTTCAGGCTACCTACCGCTTTCTCAACTTCTTCTAGTGTTGGGGGACCTGTCTCTATGTCCCATTCAGGGTCCGACTGGATAGCGGGCAGCGCAATGGTGGCTGGAGGCCAGTTAAACTGTTCCTCAAAGTGTTCTGCCCATCGTCCCAGTCGCCTTCCCTGCGAGTGAATCGCCGATCCGTCCTTCTCCGCTATAACCTCACTAACTGTTGTTGACCATTTCCCCCCAGTCTCCTTAATAAGTCTAAATAACTGTCTACTGTTACCGATCGCCGCTGCCTTTTCCATCTCTTTAGCCTTTGCTGCCCACCACTGTTCACGATCGTTGCGCAGACTTTTCGTCAGTTTATTTTTAAGTTGCGCTCGCTCTTCATTGTACTCAGAGCCTGCAGGGATGCATTCACGTGCATCCATTAGTTTGGAAGAAGCTGCTGATATCCACTGGCTCTTTTTAGCCATTATCTTGGAGTCGGCTACAGTCTCCAGTGCTGCTTTTACAGTAGACTGAAGATGGCACCAAGCTTCTTCTGGATGAGTGACAGTCTTTTGTTCCGATAACTGCCTAGCCAACTTCTCACTGAACACGGCTTTGGTGTTTTCGTTGTCCAGCAGAACTCGTAGTGGTTTTGTTGCCAAATTTTTTCTACGTCCATTGAGACGCAGGCATATACGTGCTCGGACCAACGCATGATCGCTGTCCAAACACGTACTCCAGAAGGAGCGGCAGTCTTCCACCGATCCTCTCCAGCGATGACTAATAGCAATGTGGTCTATCTGTGTCCATCGCTGAGTCGAGCTCGGTGGACGCCAGGTCAGACAGTGCCTTTCTTTATGTCTGAAATTTGTGCTGGCTAAAAATAGGCGGTTATCTGAGCATAGTTGTAATAGGCGATCACCGTTATCTGTACGTTCAGCTGGGATTCCGAAAGTGCCACCTAAGTGCCTTTCTGCCTCACTCAGTCTACCCACCTGTGCGTTGAGGTCACCTGCAACAACCACTACGTCCGAACGTTTGGCTTTCGAGAGGAGGTTAGACAGTTTATGGTAGAACTCGTCCTTCACTTCATCCGAACTACAGTCAGTGGGTGCGTAAGCAGAGATTACAAAGAGACAACGGCGAGTCTCACTATTCCTTTTAGTTCTCACTGTGCCGTTCAGCCTCATAGCGCAGAGGCGACTATCAACTGGGATCCAGTCTAGTAGTGAGTTTTCTGCCCTGGTGCTTAATGCTATACCTACACCTGCAAGACCACGAGAGCTAGCTATCGAATCTCCAGAAACTCGAAGGGTGAATTTTGCAGATTCACCAGATTGGTCAGGAGAGGTCAGGTGAATAACCACACTTGGGTCCTGTATGCGTGTCTCACAAACACAGCACACATCCATGCCCAGAGTCTTTGCCAACGAAGCCTGTTGGCCAATTTGACGGAGGGTGCGGACATTGAAGGCTCCAATATGTAATTTGGAGCGTGGTTTAAGGAGACCAGGGATGCTGTTCTGTGGACTCAGATCGTTGTCGAAGGCTGCAGAGGTAGGAGAAATTGAAGATGATGCAGCATCATTAATTAAGAGACGTGAAGGAAGATTAGAAGGTAATGATGGAGGAGGAGGATAGCAGTCAGAAGAAACTTGGGTGCTGACAGAGTTGTGAGGGCGGTTGACACTTCCCGGCTGCCCACACCGTGGAAGGCTATTTCTTCTTAAGGTACCTGAAAGAGATTTGTGTGACCGCAGAGCCCATCGGACATCTGCTTGAGGCCTGTCACACCCAGCCTTTTGAGTATGATTATTTTGAATTTTTGTATTTTTGGGGCCGGATGGTCGAAAGGAAACGACAAGTGAACCAACACCGCCGGCCCGGCAGACCGTGGGGCGTGGTGGAGTGTGTTATTTTTGGGGCCGACCTTTTCTAACCCCCCCTTCCACTGAGAAGGCAGCATCAGCTTGGCACTGCTGGTCATCCAAGGGAAACACCTTACTGCTGTCACACCCCATCCAGCTAGCAGCAGTACGACTTCGCCCTCAGACCCCCATCATAGTGTAGCAATTTACACTATAACGGTAACTGCTTTTCGTCTAACCACTACCCAACAGACCTTTCTGGTATGGTAGGACCTCGAGGGAACAAGCGTTCCACCAGCATAGCTCGTTGGGTCATTGTGATATGGGGGTCCGACCACCACATCAAGATAGCAGCTATCGGTCGGGAAATACCAATGTACAGCTTTATACTGAAGTCGCTAAAGAGATACTTCTTCGTTGATGCATGTCTTGTTCTTATTCATGAATATTCAGTGTGTTTCGACTTCATGATTCCTGCTCAATATGTTAATGACAATATTTTCATCCTGTAAGAACAGGACTATTTCAAAATTTTTATTCTACACACTGCTTTGATTTTAGGGATTGATGACTACGAATTGGAAGCCTGATTAGCAAAAGAATCCGACCTTTCATCTCGGTGAAGATGAACTGGAGACAAGAATAACTGATGAATTGGAAAGTAATGTTTATTACCACTTTTTCAGTTTCAGGACCAATTCACCACGAGGATGACAACGTCAAGAATTACCCATATCAGTATACAAAATTTTATAATTTTGATGTGATTCATGGAAAAGTCTTTCATCCTCTTTAGGTTGAATAACTATTCACTATCATTTGTCCAAAATGTATTACTGTCATTTTTGCATGATAAGGTATAAGGTATACCAAGCGCCGATAGAAATCTATCGATAAGGTTGAATATTTTTTTATGACAAGATTATCTCAACACATAAAATGACAACACCTACTCCATGTCAAATTCGATCGCTTGGCTTTGTGTAATCGATAAACTTCAACCAACAAAGTCAAAAAAATAAATGGAATTGACTGACAACTAGCGACTCACATGATTCTTATTCTAAGTTAATAAAGAACTAGTAGAAAATTTACAACTACAGTGTTAACAATTAACCGTAGCTTTGAATAACGTCAAATTTAATCGTGCAGCTGCACAAGATCTTTTCTCTTTATCTTCACCCCTTTGAATGGTATGACGTAATGTTGTTTATATTCCAGCAAATAAAAGTCACAGATCCACCAGATTTAAAAACTTAAGAAACATGCAAGTTACGACTTAAAATTCATTTTGCTTAACGGTAATTAATGTAAATGTTATTAAAGCTGACATACCTTAAAAAAGTAGTATTCAACATTCAACCACAATAAACTTTAATACGCTCTAGATATCATGACACGTTTCCCTCTCATCTGACTTCACATGAATTGATAATATCACAGTATAATCATAAATGAATCTAGAGTACGTAAATAACATAGCCCTGTTAGGCGAAGACACTGACAAGATAGAGTTTCTTAAACACCTTGAGTGCCAATTTTGGATGCGCTTCCTGTCAACAACATGCAGATTGTTGTTTCAAGACTGCTCTGCGTTGGTGCTTAGTCTAACCATAGGGAATGAAATGATTGAACACGTTGACTAGTTCATTTACCTGGAACCTCAGACCTCACGAATCAGCGACTGACAAAATGTCAGTGTAAATACAAAAGGGTAGATTGGCTTTCGCCAACTTACGTACCCATGTAATCCGACCACCTTTTAAGTAAGGTGCGACTGTACTGCTCTGCAGTTCGCTTTGTTCTACTATGTGGTTGTGAAACGTGGCGGTGAAAGGTAAAGAGTACAAGAAGGCTTTAAGTGTTCGATCGACATTTCCTTCGAAGCATCGGCTGTACTTCGTGGTGCCACCATATCAGTTATATGGACGTCAGGTGTAGAGTGTATTGGTAGAGGGAAAAATCAGTCGATAAAGCTTCATAGACTCAGACAACTGGGATATGTGTTACACACGCCTAGTCACCATCTGTCTCCTTCCACAATGTTGACCGGAGTAAGTTCAGACTAGGAGAAGGTGAGACACAGTCAGACAAAACACGCCATTAGTCTCAGAAGTATGTGACTGTCGACATGATTCATGTAGAGGAATATAGACTTCCATTTGTGATCCAGGCAACTAAAGAAACTAGTGGTTGGAAACTCCAATTGATATGGCTTAGAGTCGATCTCAATTGCGCAGATGTATCCTCACATTATCTTCATCTTAATCGCCACACCAAATATAAATTTTGTCTGATTCCTCCTGGCTTTCACTCACGCTCTCCCTCTCTCTCTCTCTCTCACACACACACACACACACGAATTTCTACCACTCTGACCTTTTTTCCTGATTTCCTTATCATTCAACTTCCTGCATTTCCACTTGTGCTAATATGAAATGTGGCAACTTGGATCATTACGTATTAATGTCAATTTTCAAGTGAATGCTGACTGACCGACTCATCAAATGATACGAAAATTCAAATCCGCAAACCGTTCCGCCAATTTCAGTCAACCAATTGAGACACCCATGTACCAATATATTTGTTTCGAATTACCTACCGATGGTATATACTTACATATTGATTCGAGAAAAATGACTCAGAATATGACAGGTGATGCGAATAAATACTTTTCTTTTGACGATACAATAGCGACAGGTAGCAAGTAATCATTAGAACTGGAAAATAACCAAAATATCACATCTGAAAATATTTGTAGTCACATTAAAAAGAAGGAAGTTTCATATAGCGAAGAAAGACTCTAGTGTTGTGTGAGTAGTCATTATATACGAAATGAGCATTTAAAGTCTGGAAAACAGACTCATTTAAGTATTGTATCCTTTTGACTGATTACAATTCATAAATACAGACAAGTTGTACTTCATGAAAAGACAGTCTTTTTTTAACTATCTTCATCCATTTGAGTCTAAAGATAAGAAGAAACAATATACAGATAATCTTTGCCAATACTGAAAAACATACATAAAATGACTATTCAAATACATACGGGAAAACAATGAAAATCAGTATCATGATCACACACTCGACGCTAAATGAATTAGTCACCTCAATGATATCACTTCGAGTGACCTGAGCAGCTGTCAAACGATCCCTTGTCTATGGGACAGCGTCCATAGATAGTCAGAAATTGTACGGAGAAGATAAGTGTGATACGAATAATGTGCTGTGAAAAAACAACACATAAACTTAAGAGAAGTATCATGACAGTCTAATCATCCTTCCGCGAATGCCCACAAATTGAGGATCATAGTTACCCAATGCCTAACTGAACCTTGTGAACAATAAACTCGAGAAAACCAGCCAGGTATCAGACTGGGGCGAAGCTGCGTCAATTACTTCTTCATTCTTCGTCAGGTGATGGAACACAACCATACTTAATCCTGCCATATTTCTACACCTGAAGGCAGCATTCAACCGAGATGTATTACGGCAGTGTCTAACTGTGAAGGGAATACGAACAAGCATGAAACACTGATCAAAGCTCCCTACTCGAACTCACGTATCAGTGTAACCACCGGTGGAAAGCCCCGACGATAACCGGTACCAAGACGTAATGGTCAGCCCTGAGTTTCAAAATAACTGAACGAGCTACAATGACAAGAAAGCTTGTTTTCTACCGCCATATTACAAAGGTCTGTTGCATAGTGATAAGAAAAAAGGCAGTTACCGTTGCAGTGCAGTGATAAGGGTCCGACGGCGAAGTTTTACTACTGGCTGGATGGCGTGTGACACAAATAAGGTGCTTCGTTAGAATGACTAGTAGTGCAACCCTGATGGTGCCTTCTTAATAAGAAAGAAGATCAGAAAACGTTAGCCCAAAAAATACCACACCCCTCCCTACATCACCGTCTTCCGCTCCCGGCGGCATGGGTTTTCGCTCATCGGCATTAGAACAACTAAATATCAAAACAACAACCCACAAACGTTTGTGTGCAACAGGTCTAAAGCAGATATCCTATGGGCTCGGTGATCATACAAATCTTCCTCCGAAAAAACTAACTAAAGACAAGAACTGTAAACCACAGACGCAGCCCCTGCTAATCTTGCAAGAGTACTTTGCACTTCGATAGTGAAAAGCACATACCATACTTACGGACACCAATCGCCAACTGGTTAAGGGTGACATGAGTAGCCTATGTGTCATCACACAGTAAGACGATATCGTCCGCATATTTAAGGTCGAATAGCCGTTCTCCGGTTAAATCTACACCACCATCACGTACCTCCTTCAGAGTTGTATGGAGAATGCCATTGATGGTAAAGTTAGAGAGGGATAAAGAAATCCGAAAACCTTGCGTAACTCCACTGCTGGTTTGGAACAGTAGTGACAGGTGGTTGTATGCCCTGACTCTACCTGAGGTGTTATTATATAGGACTTTCAAGATGCTAATAAATTTCTCAGGCACACCCCTCATCAACAGATATTTCCAGATTACAGCTCCGTCCAACAAGTCGTAGACAGTCCAAATATCGAGAAACAAAGATTGTTGGCCTAAAATAAGTCTAGGGATGTTGAAGTATCTGGTGGAGGGTAAACACATGATCAATGCATCCACGACCTGAACGAAACCCGCTCTGCTCATCACGAATCATTTCCTCGGGCGTTTTGAAGACTATGTGAGGTATTGTTATTATTTGTCCCTTGGGTTCCTAATGGAACATAGGGCTTCAGTAGCACGTCTGCAGTGCGCTCTGTTATCTGAAATCTTTTGGACCTGGCTCCACAACTGCTCAGAAGCTCTCATTTCTTCCTCACATGATCTCCTCCATGTCACCCTCAGCTGGGACGCCCAACTCGTCGTTTCCCATCTAGGTTCCACTCGAGGGCCTGACCTGGGACGTGATGTCCTCGAATGATCTTCTCACTCAGTGCATGCCCAATCCATCTCCACTTTCTTCTGCATAGGTTCTTGGTTGGTTCGTTGCCAAAGTTCCTTTGTTGCTTATTCTTTCTGACCACCTGATCTTCAGTAACGAGCGTAGGCAATTGCTGATGAATATCTGTAGTTTGTTGGAATTCATGTCACCCATTAGAATTTTAATGTCGCCATCTGGACTTGGGTTTTGTCCAGTACTGATTGCAGTTTTCTGCAGAATTCCTCCTTCTTCTCTTCATCTGCAATATTTGTAGGTGCATAGCGTGGCGTTGTATGATTGTGACTTTCCTTCCTTTTGAGTTGAACCTTGCTGTCATGATCCTGATGGTGGAGAAGATTGATTCCCACTGTATGAGACCCTTCGATGCTCTCGGGGACATCATGATAGCCACTCCAAAACTCAGTGTGCTCATGGTTGTCTTCTGGGTGACCGGAGTAGATTATTGACTCTCCAGTTGACAGTTGGGAGAGTCTACTTCTATTGCATCTGCTTTCGCAGATTCCTAGCACTTCTATGCTATACCTTCTCATCTCTTTGGCAATCTAGGCAGCCTTGCCAGCCAGCTTCAAACATTGTTCGGACATTCTACGTCTCCATTCTCACTTTGGCTTTCATCGAGAGAAGAGAAGACACATCGGCCAATTGGCTTCCCGAAGGCTTTCACCAACCGGCGTCATTTCGTCTCCCCGATTCCAGTGAGGAATAAGTTTGTTTCTGTTTTTTGTAATTTCTTTGTGCTTTGAAGTTTCTGTAGCGGTTGGATTGGTTTTACGGGGTAGGGTTGTTAGCCCTATGCCCAACCTTCCCTTTTTATCTGGGCTTAGGACCGGCAAGTAACCAGTGAACTAGTTAACCAAGCCAGGTGAAGTACGATGGTTGCCAATATATTTGAAGCGACTGGTAATAGCCTAATACCTCTATGGCTTTCCCCCCCCTTTTAAGTAGACTCTTTTTAAAGATGGGCACAACAGTGGCCTAATTCCAGAGTGGTGGAACACCTTTAGTCTGCCATACCTTTTCAAACAATCTTCTAGTCAGTTTCGTGATTAGAGTCGTTCCTCCATCCTTAAAGTGAGCTAGGAGTAAATTGTCTGTGTCGGGTGCCTTGTGGCGTCTCAAAACTTGGAGTTCTTTATGAAGCCCCGCTTCATTAACGGAATCGGTGTTAGCTGGTCATGGGGCACGATACACTGAAACTGAAGATGCTGGAGCAGTAGGTCAGCTGAAGTGCTTTTCGAAGTTCTTCGCCCCTCGTTTCAGGCGTCTTTGAAATTTGTTTATCTGCGTGCCGTCTCGCTGACACTAGGCTTGCTGCTGCCGATGTGTAGGATGGGTTGGAACAGCTTCCGACCATTGCAAGATGCAGCCTCGGCTTCCATTTCTCTAGCGCGTTCTGACCATCAAATCTCACCGTCCTTGTGTAAGCGTTGTGTAATATTTCGCGTAAGAGACTTACGCAAAGCATTGTACTCGCTACCCATGGGAATAGTCCGATGGGCGTCAAGAAGTTACAAGGAGCTTGCAGAGACCCGGTGTTTATTAGCCGAGCGTTCTTCCAAGCTTCAAGCAAAGTTACTTGTCATTTTCATTTTGCAAATGCAGCCAATTCTCGTCTTCACTTTTTAGCGGCAGTCATGTATGCACCCACACCTTCGGTAGCTGATTGCAATATGATCTATTTGAGTCCAGGCTTGAGTGGCAGATAAAGAACGCCAAATAGTACAACGGTGATGGCTGTGCGAAAGTTAGCGTTGTCTAGAAATAGGTTGTGGTCTGTACAAAGCTGCAGAAGACGATTCCCATTATCCGACATGCGGCCAACTGGTCACCATTGGCCACCTACCTAGACTACTCTCCTCTGAGCCTAGACACCCGACTTGCGCAACCAAGTCCCCAGCTAGCACTGCGTTATCTGTTGAGCGCACTTAGTTGAGATCACTCACTTGGTGATAGAATTCATCCTTGGTTGTATTTGGGCTGCAATCAGTCGGAGCATAGGCAGAGATAACAAAGAGACATCGTTTTTCTTGCCGATTACTTCTTACGCGAGATGAATCTTCTAGCCTTACGGGACACAGACGATTGTTGATGAGGATCCAGTTGAGTAGTCCAGCTTCGGCTTGAGCGCTTAGTGCGACACCAACACCAGGGAGGCTGGTTCCCTTTTCTATCGGATCCCCGGATGAATGCACATGAAACATACTTTTCGAGCTGATAGATGAAGAACTAATTCAATGCACTTCACTGGGATCTTGTATGCGGGTGTCTGAGATGCAACATACATTAATAGAGAAGCTTTCCGGAATCCTAGCCTAACTTGCCAGTTGTCCGATCTACACCAAGATGTCTTTCACTTCTGTGGAAACACTTTCGTCTCGTGCAAGCAGTAAATAAGACTTCTCTGTCAGAGGTTGTGAATGGATACCAGGGTATTCGGGGGCCCATTATAAGTGGGTTGTGCTGCGAAGACGTCTGGTGTCGAAAAAGTGTCATTTTTTCATATCTTCTGCTTTCAGCGGCCATGTCTTGCAGCCGTACAACAGGACAAAGCGATGTGTACTAGTCCTTTTTATATATTATTGGATATCTCGCCAGTCGGCGCCAGAGATGACCCATGTTGGCAAATCCCAAACGGGCCTTCTGTACCTGAGCTGAGATTTCGTCAGAAGCCGGCGTGTTTGAACTGATGCAACTCCCCAAGTAGATAAAATGGCTCACACCCTCTACCCCTTCACTACCTTTCATTAGACTGGAAATGGTTGCAGACCAATCATGGAACGTCATCGTACATTTGACAGGTCTGAAATTCATCACAGCCAAACATTCAGATTTCTGCTGTAGGTGTTTAGAAGACCCTACATTTCGTCAACTCCACCTAACAGGATAACATAGTGTCCATTCCTTAAGTCAACTAGATGACATCCATGGAATAGATCGCCCCCTGTTTTGTCAAACCTTTTTATCTTTATGTCCATTAATACGAAGTTAAATAGGAACGGTGACCGTGATAATGGGCATCCCTGAGGGACACTACTAGTTGTCGTCCATTCTGATAACAGCTCTCCATAAGGCCTTACACGGCTGCATGAGTTACATACTTGCTCGGTATTCCCTTCACATTCAAACACTGCCACGACACCTCTCGGTCGACCGAACCAAATGCTGCCTTCAGGTCAAGAGATATGGCACATGCTGGTCGCCGGTAGGTAGACCAGTGTTCCAGGGTTTGTTGGACGATGGAAATACGATCGATGCACCCTCATCCTGGTCTGAAACCTGCTTAGTTTTCTCGAGTTCCAGTGAGGCATCGGACAACTATGGACCGTAGCAACTTGGACACAATGTTGTCAATTGAACTGATTCCCCTATGGTTGTCACAAGGAGACTTCTCCCCTTTATTACAGGTTGGGATAATCAGTGAAGTAGATAAGTCCGACGACACTACCTCAGATTACTATTCACTGTCTAGTATGTGCGTTGCTTTAATTGGCAATTTCCTACTACCATCCTTGAAAACTTCAGGTGGCAAACTGTCAAGTCGTGGTGCCTCGCATCATTTCAGATTTGATACACCTTTCTCAACTTAAAGGAGAGTCGGACGGCCGACATCCGCATGTCATTCAGGTTCAGACTAAATGTTCAGCAACTGAAGCATTGGTGTGGACCAGCTGAACTGTGCTTCAGAGTGTTGTGTCCAACATTCTAGCCGCCTATCGTGAGAGTTTATCGGCGTTCCATCGTTTTCAGTGATGGTTCCACTAAGCATCGTTTTCTGAATAGTTGCCGGGTGTTACCAAACCCCAACATTGATGCCTTCTCCATCTCCCTTGATTTGGTCACCCACCACTGCATGCGATCATTGTGAAGTCTCGTGGTCGATTTGCGTTTGAAAGACTTTCGATGTTCATCGTGGTCAGAGTCAGCTAGAATCAGTCTTCTCGCACCAATTTATTCGGATTATGTTACGTAAATGCAGTGAGGTTTACTTAGCTTCGGGTATAGGTTATCAGTTGTCACCGCTATTTCTACAGCAGACTTGATATCATGCCACTCCAGGTTTCCTCAGGATTATCACTGGTATCACGTTGAGATAAATGCTTAGATAACTCCTCCTTAACTACACACTTGACATTCTCTTGCTCCAGTCATTCTCAAAAAGGCTTCACTGCCACCTAGATGCCTTTCCGATTGGCTCGGCTTCCCTACTTGAGCGTTTAATTCACTTGCCATTATGACTACCTGTGAACGTTTTACTTTCTGTAGCAATATTCATAGATTTTCGTAGAATTCATCGTTTGGATGATCCGAACTGCAGCTGGTGGTTGGGTTGGTAGACGCTCATTCAGATCGATTGAGTCGAACAACACAGATTGGTATTGTCGAGAAGCGCTTTTTCTAGTCTATAATTCAGTGCTATGCGTACACCAGCAAGTCCACGAGATTTAATGATTAGGTCTATGAAATTGTGAAGACTCACTATTATGGCCAGGTGAGGTCAATTTAATGACCACACTCGAATCCTGTCTGTATGTGTGTCTCAGAGACAACTTTTATCCATGGCCTGGTATTCTAAAATTCTGGTTACAGTTGTAACTAGTTCACTGGTTACTTGCCGGTCCTAAGCCCAGATAAAAAGGGAAGGTTGGGCATAGGGCTAACAACCCTACCCCGTAAAACCAATCCAACCGCTACAGAAACTTCAAAGCACAAAGAAATTACAAAAAACAGAAACAAACTTATTCCTCACTGGAATCGGGGAGACGAAATGACGCCGGTTGGTGAAAGCCTTCGGGAAGCCAATTGGCCGATGTGTCTTCTCTTCTCTCGATGAAAGCCAAAGTGAGAATGGAGACGTAGAATGTCCGAACAATGTTTGAAGCTGGCTGGCAAGGCTGCCTAGATTGCCAAAGAGATGAGAAGGTATAGCATAGAAGTGCTAGGAATCTGCGAAAGCAGATGCAATAGAAGTAGACTCTCCCAACTGTCAACTGGAGAGTCAATAATCTACTCCGGTCACCCAGAAGACAACCATGAGCACACTGAGTTTTGGAGTGGCTATCATGATGTCCCCGAGAGCATCGAAGGGTCTCATACAGTGGGAATCAATCTTCTCCACCATCAGGATCATGACAGCAAGGTTCAACTCAAAAGGAAGGAAAGTCACAATCATACAACGCCACGCTATGCACCTACAAATATTGCAGATGAAGAGAAGAAGGAGGAATTCTGCAGAAAACTGCAATCAGTACTGGACAAAACCCAAGTCCAGATGGCGACATTAAAATTCTAATGGGTGACATGAATTCCAACAAACTACAGATATTCATCAGCAATTGCCTACGCTCGTTACTGAAGATCAGGTGGTCAGAAAGAATAAGCAACAAAGGAACTTTGGCAACGAACCAACCAAGAACCTATGCAGAAGAAAGTGGAGATGGATTGGGCATGCACTGAGTGAGAAGATCATTCGAGGACATCACGTCCCAGGTCAGGCCCTCGAGTGGAACCTAGATGGGAAACGACGAGTTGGGCGTCCCAGCTGAGGGTGACATGGAGGAGATCATGTGAGGAAGAAATGAGAGCTTCTGAGCAGTTGTGGAGCCAGGTCCAAAAGATTTCAGATAACAGAGCGCACTGCAGACGTGCTACTGAAGCCCTATGTTCCATTAGGAACCCAAGGGACAAATAATAACAATACCTCACATAGTCTTCAAAACGCCCGAGGAAATGATTCGTGATGAGCAGAGCGGGTTTCGTTCAGGTCGTGGATGCATTGATCATGTGTTTACCCTCCACCAGATACTTCAACATCCCTAGACTTATTTTAGGCCAACAATCTTTGTTTCTCGATATTTGGACTGTCTACGACTTGTTGGACGGAGCTGTAATCTGGAAATATCTGTTGATGAGGGGTGTGCCTGAGAAATTTATTAGCATCTTGAAAGTCCTATATAATAACACCTCAGGTAGAGTCAGGGCATACAACCACCTGTCACTACTGTTCCAAACCAGCAGTGGAGTTACGCAAGGTTTTCGGATTTCTTTATCCCTCTCTAACTTTACCATCAATGGCATTCTCCATACAACTCTGAAGGAGGTACGTGATGGTGGTGTAGATTTAACCGGAGAACGGCTATTCGACCTTAAATATGCGGACGATATCGTCTTACTGTGTGATGACACATAGGCTACTCATGTCACCCTTAACCAGTTGGCGATTGGTGTCCGTAAGTATGGTATGTGCTTTTCACTATCGAAGTGCAAAGTACTCTTGCAAGATTAGCAGGGGACTGTGTCTGCGCTCACCTTCCGGGGTGAGCCGTTGGAAGTAGTCGAAAAGTTCGTGTATCTAGGTAGCTGTGTGAGTGCTGGTGGAGGTGTGATTGATGGAATTTCCAACCGCATATCAAAAGTCAGAAAGGCATACGCCAATCTAGATCACCTTTCGCGCCATTCGGACTCAAGTCTGACCGTAAAATGTCGGGTTTACAACGCTTCGGTGCAAGTAGTTTCTGCTATACGCCTGTGAAACCTGGCCTCTTCAAGCTGAAGATGTGTGATAACTCTAGGTTCCATCATAGTTCTTTCCATAGGTTTGCTCGTATCCGCTGGCAACACTGTGTAAGTGATTCTGAGGTAAGACAGAGTGTGCTCGGGCATATAGGAGATCGTCATTCAATAAGTCATCTGGAAATATCGACTTCGGTGGCTTGAACATGTGTTATGGATACATTCTCAACGGCTTCCTTACTGTTCATTGTTTGCTAATCCTGGGATTTGATGGGAAAAGTAGAGGAGTGGTCAGTGTATGACGTGGCGCCATAGAATGAAGGATAATCGTATCGGATTAGCGTCTATCGGTGTATCACAACTCCCCGGTGTGGGGTCCGAGAGACCACGCAACTTATTGACTTGGTACGTTATCAGATGTGGCTCAAAATCGAAACCAGTGACGATCATGCTGTAGACTCCTTCTATTTTCTGCTGCTGGAAAGTAATGAACGTTTTGTTTTGAATGTATCTTACTGGACTGCCCTTCTAATCATTTTATTTTTGTTGTTTTTCTTTTTTATTCATACACTTCCGATCGTTTATGTCTTCATGATGTTGGTATACGATTTTGTGTGGCGCATTTCTTGGTATTCTTACTGTACCAGATTTGGGTTCGGATAATATTAATAATAATAATAACGATAATGGTAATAATAACGGTAATAGTAATGATAATAATAATAATAATAATAGTACCAATAAAGACAGCAATAATAACAACGGTAATAATAGTAAATGCTTATAGTGGAATCATTATGTGAGCAATGTTGAAGTCAGGGGAAGGGTGCTAGGCAAGACAGACAAGTCGGACTACGAGGTTGCGAACTTTCATGGGCTGGGGTGGCTTAAACTTGTGTTGTATATGCTAAGCCACCGCCTACGCCAACATGTAATGTTAGTCGACGTTGGCTTCGGTTGGAATAAAGTTTAGGGTGACGAGACCAAGCTATGGCACCAGTCCATTAAGTCTCTGACTGTTTGGTCTGAGCCATGTAAAAAGATGTAGACTACCTGGTCGGGGCGGCCTCATCGAGGCGACAGGAATCAGCGATGGTAAAATGGTTTAAAATTAGTCACAATGGAGCGGATGTATTCACTATATGGTGTCTTCTAAAGCTTGATTTTCAACTTCCTTCTCCTACAATACACCTTTGTTTACCCTGATATCAATCCTTTTTATCCACTTGTTTTTTATATGCTATTATGAAGTGCAGCAAGTTGAACCGATGCACTCCTATGTGGGGTTGGTTATAAGTTGATTTAGTATGTCTGTCTGTCATCTAAACAAATACTATACACATATCAGATTTTCAATGAGATATCCTGGCCTCTGTTCAAAGTTACTGCAGCTTAGAAAATAAACCATTTGATATGATGCCAAACTGTATTGATTTCTGACTACATAATACAACGTAAATCGGCAACTGCGGCTTTGAGCCACATCAAAAGTCTGATAGCACTAATCCGTTTCCAAGGTAAAAATAACTGAAGTGAATTTGAACCTATAAACCTCATGACTTAATTGTCAAACTACTAAGACCATCATACCATAGGTCTTAAACTCATCAAGTGAGCCCATGTTGCATTCAGTGGCTGAATCGGTTTAAACTTGTAGTTTCAGTCTCTGCGTGTTTAAACCATAAAATTCAACCTGCATCCTAATAACTATATTGAACCAACTCAAACAACAGTTTGGAGTTATGAATGAAATATATTTGTAAAATCCTAATGAAGTAGATTGGAATTTTGCAAATACATTTCATTTATAATCCATTTATCCAATGCTCAACTTAATCAACTCTATCAGGTCAAATTTTGATCCTGAAGTTTATAAAGTTTGGAGTTACTCATCAATCTTTCAATAAACTCTACCTGCAGACTGATAAATAGTGAGGGTTCATCAATTAGGCTTTTTTTAGCTGAGGATTTTACTCACCCACTTTCCATCAGAAACTAATTAAACCATACAATACATGATCTTCATTTCTGATGTTACAAAATTAACAAACAATAGACAGAAGGTCATAATATGTCATATTATTAGAACATTCTCAACTCCTGGCCTAGGTAATATTTTATAAATCAACTAATTTGAAAAAGAGTAACTCTAAGAATCGACTGAACCATATCTTATAGTCTTTGAGTACAATCACATAAAACAATTACTTCTCAGAATAGATATCTTCAGGAAATAAACACCTTTTCAAGCTTCTTTTCACTATATTTGTGAAATCTGGTGAACAATTCATTGGATCAACTTTTACTGTTCATCAAAATCCACCTAGTAAGTTGTGTAATATGGCAAACATTTTGATAAAATCTTTGGTCTAGACTAAACTGCCTCCTGAATCACGCTATATCTGTAAGTGGTTACAGAACCACGTGGTTTATTTAGCTGAAGATTGTAGCATAGATTTATCGAAATTGCCCAGTATACAGGAGCTGTGGCTCAGTGATTTAGGGAGATAGGCGACTATCAACCATTAGGCCATGGGTTCCGACCTCGCTCTATCTACTGAGGTTTGGGCAGCCAGCTCTCACATAACAGGCGTGGCTCACTGCCTGTTGCCGAGTGCCTTCCATCTTTCCGTATACAAAAACTTATTGGCTTCTGATCATCGTCATTTTCATCATCATATTCTCAAGAAATTGTCAGGGACGAAAACATCAGAATGCTCACTATCCAATGATTTCTAATATAAAACGCCTCATGTGTAGACGCATAAAAATACTTAGCAAGTAAAAATTACCTGAGTATAATGACGATAATTAGGATGGAAATTATGAACAGCATCAACGAGTATATCTGTAGGATCGATAGTTGCTTTGATACTTGCAGATATACTTGGAATTACATTTGAATTTTGACCATTCCATAGCTTTTCAAATCCACCATTATTCAAACTGTGGATCAACAATATCCCAAGGTAATGGTTCAGTGTATGTTGTTGATGGTGCACAGCTAACAAATGTCGCCGACGTGAACTGTGAATCTCCACCTTTAGTCGAAGCTATTATAGTTGAGTTTTTGGATGGCTTGAAACCAACTGATGGCTTTGTTGCAAACATGAAATCATCATTGTACATGTAAGAATCATTTGATGGTACATCGAATACAAGACGAGGTGGATGACTATAAAAAAAGGTAATGCCGTTAAAAAATATTATTAATTTGCAATAATAATATCATCGCCACATCAACACAGGACAAGGCATTACTGCATAACAGTCCAAGTTCCAAGTTGCAGCATCTCATATTAGCACTTCAAGCAACAAAGTAATAAGGTGAAACATAAAGAAGTATAGGAGAAACAGTCAAAAGCAGTAGAAGGCAGTAAACGAGAGGAAGGAGGAATGAGGAAAAATAAGAAAGTTCAATATGAAGATTAAGATAAGGATAGTATGTGGATGCATTGGGCCAACGAGGTTGAATTCT